TTTACTATTTTTTTTTTTTTATATTTTTTTATATTTATTTTTAAATATATATAAATATATATATATATATAAATATATATATATATATATATATATATATATATATATTTTTAATATATATATATATATATATATATATATATATATATATATATATATATATATATATATATATATATATATATATATATATATATACATATATAATAGAAATTACTGTAAAGATATATTTGATCATAACTAATAATATTGATAATCTTGAATATGAATAAATTATTAATATATAATATCAATTCCTGACCAAAGTAAAATAATAAAATAAGTCAGGAAATACTGTGAAAATGTCCTTGCTCTTGAATATTAATACTGATAATATGGAATATTTATATTAAAAAAATAAAGATAATTCCTGAAAAATAAAATAAAACTAAATGGGTAACTAAAACAGTCAAAAACATCCTGATTGATAATATTGATAATCTATATATATATATATATATATAATAGAAATTACAGTAAAAATATCTTTGATCGTGACTAATAATATTGATAATCTTGAATGGTTATTAAACAAAATAATAATTTAGTTAATTCTTAACCAAAGTAAAATAATAAAATAAAATAGGAAATAAAGTGAAAATGTCCTTGTTCATGACTATTAATATTAATAATATTGAATATTAAATAAACAAAATAATAATTTTGTTCATTTCTGACCAAAATAAAATAAAAAATAAAATAAAATAGGAAATAAAGTGAAAATGTCCTTGTTCGTGAATATTAATATTGATAATAGTGAATATTTACACAAATATATATATATATATATATAATTCATTAAACTCCTGATCAAAATAAAATACAAATATAATAGAAAATATAGTGAAAATATCCTGGCACATGACTAATAATATTGAACATTGATTTTTAATAATAATTTAATAAATTCCTGACAAAAATAAAATAAGAAATACTGTGAAAATGTCTTTGTTCATGAATATTAATATTGATGATCCTGAATATTAATTAAACAAAACGAAACAAAATAAAATAAAAATATAAATATATGAGCAAATTCTGCTGAAAATATGTGAACTCCGTTAAACATCACTTGGGAAATATTATTATAAAGAAAGAATGAAAGCGGCACTAATAATCGAACCTTCCTCTTTTGTATTTTAGGGTAAAATATGGCAGGATGCGTTGCTTCATGTCCAAGTGCATGCTGGGTAAGAAAGTCTCTGTAGTGTGTATCTGATCCTCAGAGTCAATCAAACAGCACAATATCCCATATGCAAAACGCAACGCAGTGATTGGCCGGCCAGTCAGAGCTGATCTGCATCCCGCAGTGCCTCACGGAGGACGGCGCGGCATGGCTAGCGCTGATGTTCAGAGTGTTAGCATTAGCGGTGAGTGTTAGCGTTAGCATCAGACGAAGAGCTGTATCCTCTCGCGGATGGTCTGTCTGCAGATGGGGCAGGTCTTGAGGGCGGAGCTACAGTCGATGCAGGAGGCGTGGCCACACTGGAACACCAGCCGTATATGGTTGTCTATGCAGATGGGGCAGGTGATGCGCTCCTCCATCTGTCTGTAGCGCGACTGCAGCTGCTCCAGCAGGTGGTGCTGTTCTGAGTTCTCCGAGCTCGGGCTGCACTCCACCTCCGTCTGATCTGGGGCCACAGAGAAAACAACATCACGATGCATGCAAATATACATATTTATATATATATATTTATATATATAAATATCTTAGTGGTGGGCCATTATCAGCGTTGACGTGCTGCGTTAATGCGAGACTCTTATCGCGCGATAAAAAAAATATGGCCGTTAATCTATACTCAGAGTTATGATATTTTACTTGATATTTACTGTGGTGTTAGACGCAGATAAGGAGTGAGGACTGGCGAGAGTGTTATGGAGATTAATAATGCACAGCAAATGGAAAGAAAAAAACTTCCACAATTTACGATGAGTGTGTGTGTTTGTGTGTGTGTGTGCAGTCCGGTAGGGTCCTTTACTGACAGCCGTGCGTGTGGATCTTGTGGGGGAATATTGTGTAAAGACGGTAATAGTTTGATGGCGCTGTTTACTTCAGTAACTCCACTAATATCTGCAGACTCCCCATGTCTTAGCTCCATTTCTGTTCAGTTCAGTGATGACTTTATTCAGATTAAGGTGATTAAATATAGCTGTTGGGAGCTTATGTAGGCCGATAGATCAACATATATGTTTACCTGAATAAACAGTGAGTAAACACAATTATAACATCATTTATTTTCATCACCAAATATCAGAGTAGAACAGTTTCTCCAGCAGTTTGTGATGCATATTGTAAACAGGGAGATGGGTCCCTGGTCTAATGCGCCACCTGGCTTGAGAAACCCAGTCTCAAAGACTTATTATTTGGGTAGCACACATATTCTGAATGCCTTCGGCAGAACTCAAATGAGCCATTTTAATCTAGATTAATTTCAAGATTAATCTAGTTTAATCTAGATTAAAAAAAAAGATCTATGCCCACCTATAATATTTACATGTATACAGTTGAAGTCAGAATTATTCCCCCCAGAATTTTTTTACTCTGTATTAAATATTTCCCAAATGATGTTGAACAGATTGAGGAAATGTTCACAGTGTGTCTGATAATATTTGTTCTTCTGGAGAAAGTCTGATTTGTTTTATTTTGGCTAGAATGAAAGCAGTTTTTAATTTTTTAAACACCATTTTAAGCTCAATATTATTAGCCCCTTTAAGCTATTTTTTTTTTGTTTCTAATAGTCTCCAGAACAAACCATCATTATACAATAACCTGCCTAGTTACCCTAATTACCCTAGTGAAGCCTTTAAATGTCACTTTAAGTTGAACACTAGTGTCTTGAAGAATATCTAGTCTAATATTATGTGCTGTCATCATGGAGAAGATAAATAAATCAGTCATTAGAGATGAGTTATTAACACTATTATGATTAGAAATGTGTTGGAGAAATCTGCTCTCTGTTAAACTGAAATCAAGAACAAAAATAAATCAGGGGGCGAATAATTCAGACTTCAACTGTATATATGCACACATACACATATGTGTTTGATGTTGAATTGTAAGCAGGTCATGTTGAGCAACATTTATATTTACCTTGTCGAATTTTCTTTGTTATTGTGACCTGGCAGCGGATACACTTCTTCATTCTGTGAGCACATTCTGAAAACACACACACACACACACACACACACACAATATTTAGACAAGCATAATATAGACAATATTTCTGAGTGTGCGCGTGTGTGTGTGTGTGTGTGTGTGTGTGTGTATTTAAATGTCCTAATTTTCCCTTCCTAATCTGCAATTGCCTCTCTGGGTCTACTGCTAACTGTATTACAAAAAATAAATAATAAATTAAAAATGACTAATGTTTTGCTTCTTACACTTCACACACCTGAAACTCGCCTACAGCACTTCTTCATTGTTGCTCTTATAGTTGTGTAAATTGCTTCTTTGTCCTCATTTGTAAGTCGCTTTGGATAAAAGAGTCTGCTAAATGACTAAATGTAAATGTAAATGTGTGTATATGCGTGCATGTGCTTAAGGCCCCGTTTACACTAGTGCATTTTAGTTTTAAAACGGCGTTGTAGAATGAAAACGATCCGCGTCCACACTCGCGTTTTACCCAGCGTTTCTGAACAGCTCTCCGTCCACACCAAAACGCTGAAAACGCACATCACGTAACCACACACACACTCTCGGGCAAGCGCTCCAGCATTTCTACCCAGATGAGAGCTCTGCTTGTCGGACTGCTCATCACGCATCTCCCGCTGGATCTAATCTCACTATATTTGCTAAACGTGATATTTCATTCATGTTGTTGTCTTTATCTAACGACATATTCCCTGACTTTGGTCATTGGAATCTATTAAGTTACTTGTTCACGGGTAACATGTTTTGGTTAAGCGCAAAGATAAGTTAATGATTAATCCAGGTACATTGACTGATCGCTTGCCTTTATTTTCTACAATGTATAAACTTATTGTATGTTATACTTTTATAATTATCGATTATTAAAACTGATATTCAGCAAAAGAGAGGGTGTGTTTCGTATTTTCACTGAAATTGAAAGGAGGCAGTTGTTATCGGCTCCGTTTTGTTATAAATATCCACACAGTGAAGATGACGCTCATATATGCAGCACGACGCCTCAACATTTCTGCTGTCTGTTAAGTTGCTAATATTAAAATGAAAATAGGCAGTTCCTTAAATCATGTTTACATTTTATTGTTGAGAAAGTGAAACAACGTAGCCAAGGTGATGTGAATGAAGTTATACAGTACACTGTTCCCTTTGAAGATTCACGCGTGTCCTCGGTATGTTTTCCATATCAAACTGAGAAGGGGGAGACTGCAGCCTTGATCAAACTTGCGAAGTCTTAACTTACAAGAAGAGGATGCAAGACTGAACTGTGCGTGTTAGGCTACTTAATATTCAGGAAAAGCCCCAATCAGATAGGCGAACGTTTGCAGCCCCGCCTCTGTTTTCAGATGTCTCCGTCTTTCCCCATCCACACTGAGACGGAGCAGCAGCGTTTCAGAATGAAAACGGCCTCTCCAGCGTTTTCAAAAAGCTCCGTTTTCGGCGCTCGAGAACTCCGGCGTAGTGTGGACGGATGGCGTAACCGTAGCAAAACTTATGCGTTTTCAAACTAAAACGCACTAGTGTAAACGGGGCCTAAATGAGCATGTGTGTGTGTGTGTATAAAAGGACTAGGTGATATGGCAAAACTGCAATCATGATAGTTATTTTCCATATTGAACGATAACGATGTACATTTCAACATCAGTAGTTGATGCTTCCAGATTTAAAAGAGAATCTCAACACTGACTGAAGCCACACATGAGAGGCTCCATTACAGAGCATAAGCTATCTGCAGCGGCTGATCAGCCAAAAACTCACTGCATCTCTAATATCCACACACTTCTAGATTGCCGTTGATGTATATTTCTGCCTGTGATGGGCTCTTAGATCAAAAGTCCAGAGCTTCTCATTGTTGACAGAAATTTGACCACGATTCAATATAATATGGTTCATCGGCCCAGACCTAGAGTGTATAGGTGGACGAGTGTGTGTGAACAAGTGTATAGGTGTGTGAGTATACATGTATATGTGTGTGTGTGTGTGTGTGTGCTGACCTTCACATGCGACGCTGTGTTGGCACGGTGAGAAGAGCACCAGCAGAGCGAGCTCCGAGCAGATCAGGCACTCGCTGGGCCCCGTCACACTGGGCACCGCCAGGTTGGTCATAGTGTTGGGTGTGGTGTGAACACGCCTGAGACTGCTGCTGCTGCTGCTACTGCCGGTGCCACACGACACGGCATGGAGCCTGAAACACACACACAGACACACACACACACACATAAGGTGTAAATCCCACCTGTCCATTCTTGATTATTAAACTACTCTGCCTGGTGCCCCCTGACCTGTGTTTCTCCGCAAAGCTCCTGATGAGGGTCTGCACGCTGCTGTCCGTCACCAGGTCCAGTGGGCTCTTGCCTTTATGGTTAGCGTAGCTGATATCGGCTCCCTCCTGCGCCAGGAAACATGCGATGGCAGCTCCTACATTCAGCTCAGTGTTTCCCATCAGCCCCGAACTGCACAACTGCATGCAGAGAGACACAAATGTGTAGTGCGTATTAGTCGTGCAACACTACAGACTTCTCACGGTTCAGGTTTTGGGGTAAGGTAAAGCCTGGTGTGGAGTATGAAGCGTGTTTTACCCTGCCGTACAGCACGGCTCCGTCTCCCTCTGCGCTGCTGATGACGGTGGTCAGCTGCTGTCTACTGAGGGAAGTGTGCATGGCTGTGTCTCCATCCTCGTCCTCTGCGTTCACGTCTGCTCCCTCCATCACTAGCAGCGCTACGAGCGCCATGTGGCCCTGCGTAACGGCTAGCTGCAGCGGCGTCTGGTTGCGGTTGTTGCGGATGTTGATGTCACAGCGACCCTGTGGGATAAAGACCAATCAGATCAGTCTTGAGTTTAAAATTCGTTTTTATTTCGAAACTATTTATAGTATTTTACTGCTGAATAGTTTGTTATACATTTTGTGTTATTTTCATTTAGTTTTTATGTTGATTATTTCTATATTTGCTTTAAATTTCAGTTTAGTTTCATCAATGGTTTTGTTAGTTTTCGTTTAGTTTTCAGTTTAGTTTGTTCGTTTCATGAACGATCTCGTTAGTTTTCGTTTTGTTTTTATTTCGATACTATTTTTAAATTTGCGGTAAATGTCGGTTCGTTTTATGAATGATTTTGTTCGTTTCCGTTTAGCTTTTATTTCGATACAAATTTTAAAGTTTTCGTTTAGTTTTTATATTGATGGTTTTTTACTTTTGTTGTCAATCTCTGTCTATTTCATGAACGGTTTAGTTTTTGTTTAGTTTTATTTAATACTATTTTTTACAATCTTGTCGTAAACTTCAGTTCGTTTCGTGAATTATTTTCATTTTTGTTCAGTTTTTGTTTCAACAGTTTTAAAATTTGTGGTAAATTTCAGGGTTTTTTTTATATTTGTGTAGATTTTATTTCATCACTATATTAAAATTTACGGTAAATTCAGTTAGTTGAATGGTTTTATTAGTTTTCGTTTAGCTTCTATTTTCAATACAATAGTACTACTATTTTTATATTTGTCGCAATTTTCAGTTCGTTTCCTGAATGGTTTTATTACTTTTTATTTAATTTGTTGTAAATTTCAGTTTAGTTTTTTGTTTCATGAATGGCTTTGTTCATTTTCGTTTAGTTTCTACTTTAATATAATTATTACATTTGTTATAAATTTCAGTTCATTTCATGAACAATTTTATTAATATTCATTTAGTTTTAATTTTAATCCCATTTATACTATTTTACAATTTATACTGTTTAATAGTTTGTTGTAGATTTTTGGTTATTTTCATTTAGTTTTTATTTCGATTACTATTTGCTGTAAAGTTCAGTTTAGTTTCATGAATGGTTTTGTTAGATTCCATTTTGTTTTTATTTCGATACTATTATTGAATTAGCGGAAAATTTCAGTTCGTTATTTTTAATTTGTTGTCAATCTCTGACCATTTCATGAACGGCTTAGTTTTTGTTTAGTTTTATTTAATACTATTTTTAAAATTTTGATGTAAACTTCAGTTCGTTTCCTGAATAATTTTCGTTTTAGTTTAGTTTTTATTTTAACAATTTTTAAAATTTGATGTAAATTTTTGTTTGTTTTTTAAATTTTGTTTTTGTATTTTTGTTTATATTTTATTTCATTACTATTTTTACATTTGCGCTTCATGAATGGTTTTGTTACTTTTCATTAAATGTGTTGTAAATTTGAGTTTGG